ATGTACCTGTGTGTGTGACAGACACAATGGAACTAGAAGATTGTTGATCCTTATACCATTTGAGAATTTTTTTGAACATAACAGGTGTGTCTGATGAAATAGAAGAAGGAGGATCTTTAGCAGATAAAGGTGGGGAAAGATCAGTCTGAGCAACTGCAGTAGATCGAGTAGGACGACCATGTAATGCATAACACTTGTCAATCTTGTGACCTAGTTTTCCACAATGTTCACACTCATGTAATGCATAACACTGGTCAATCTTGTGACCTAGCTTGCCACAATATTCACACTTAGGACGCCCTTTTCCCTATTTGCGAGGGCGAGTTCGATCATCAAGGTGAGATAGAAGAATCATTAACAGAAGCAGGTGTGTCAGGGTTGGGTTTTGCTGGTATACGCAAAAGAGTGGAGCAGGTTGATGCCAAGGTGGGGACAACCGGAGAACCCAAATTTTGATCACGAATATGTGAATATTGATCAGCAAGTCCGTGTAATGCCCCTAACATGAAGAACTTTGATCGTTGTCCTATCTCGGTGGCAGGGTCGGGGGAAGGAGGCAATAACTCATTGAACTCATGAAAAAGAGCATGAATTTTGCCTATATAATCAGTCATAGAATCTTGATGTTTAGAGGCAATAACATCTACAAATTTAGAACAGACATCATAGAGACGTTGAGTATCATTGGTGTATAATAACTTGGCATGTTCCCAGATTGTGGCACATGTTTCGTAGGAACGAAAAATTTGTTTTAACGAAGGATCAAGAGTACCCTTGAGAACCACGCATAATTGAGCATCAATGGTGTCCCAACGGTCTTCCTCAACAGGAGTGAGAGTAGGTGCTTTCGGGGCAAGATGATCAAGATACTTCTGACTCTTAAGCCATAATCTGACGTCTGATGACCATGTGGCATAATTAGGGTAGTTAACTTGTCAATGGATAAATGCACATTAACATAATTAGTGTAGATGGAAGGATCAGACGCAGTACTGACAGAATTGGAAGTACTAAAAGGGGCGAAAGAACTCATAAAGGGCGGAGGCGATACTGACAGTGGCGTGAACCAGTACACCAGGTAAGTTCCCAGGAAAGAGAGGTGAGTCACTAATGGACACGCTTAAATGTCAAGTCTTTCCTTGTCAGAACTTTCTTAAACATGCACTTTCACACTACCAAATAACCGACAGCGATAACGGCGGTGGTGGCGGCTTCAATAGTGGTCAAAGGCGAAAAAAAAAATTCAAAATAACCTTAAGCTCTGATACCATATTAAGATTCCAACATAAAACCAATTGACAATATGTGGGGTAGCCTAACATGTATTTAAATCATACAAAATGACATGAGGTAGACGATGTTGGACTTTCAACACACCCCTCCATTGGAGCCTGCCGGACCAGGCAAAGGGTACTTTTGACACAACTAAAGGGCAACTTTTGGCCAATGACAATAACCAGAAAGATGTTAGGCTTTGACTCTGATACCATGTTGAATATAGAAGAAATAGAGTTTGGGATTAATCTCCCTTGTGTATAAATCAGACATATGATAGTCTATTTATAGTAGAGAGATACAACTAAAAGAGTAATTGAAAGTAACAGAATAAACAGAAGATATTATTTGATATTATGGTTAATATCTTAACAATATTAAATAATATCTAAACAATATCTAACAATTTTAGATAACTAATATTTCATTTAAATATTTTGATAAATAATTTTGATGAAAAATGTTACAGGAATAACATTACACCGTGACCCGTTGGTTGATCGGTTATACGCGAAATCATTTATTTGAACGCTAAAAAAATTATAATTAAAACCTATAAAAAATTTATTTTGCACGATCATCGTATCCTATATAAAAAAATGAATAAACTATTTTTTATTAAAAAATATTGAGGCGACTCAAACGAATATAGGAAGGGCAAAAAAAAACAAGGTTTTTAAAAGGGAAAATGAAACCGTGGACCGTATATTTACCATAAGTAGTAAATTACGGTTTGTGGAAACACACAAGACTATGTAAATGATGACATTTATTTACGGGCGTAAATAGTATATAAATTGAACCACACCCAACAATAACCTCAACCTCACATGAAATGACAATCTAAAATGAATAGATTAATTTGGCAATTATAAATTATGTATGGCAAACAATTGTACAATGTTGTCCGTTCTTTATTATTATTGTCGCAATCTCTCTCTATTAACCCTCTTACCAACTACATTATCAAAGTCTTTATTCTGATTTCATTCATCCCTATCCTCCTACACCTACAACACATGTACATCTTATCCAAAATAGTTTCGAAACATAGCAATTTGCATAATGATTACTGCTATTTATTGTAATGTAAACTTCTCAATCAACCCACCTTGAATTATTGAACTTATTCTCCAACGCAGAAACTATAAAAGTAACAAGGTTGGAGTAGAAATTTTCAAGTTACGATGGAACGTTGAAATATTTAAAGGGATTGCGGTTTCAGTTTTCAACATTCAAAATAATTTTTTACTATATTTTTCATCAACGTATACTGGTTCAGAAAATTAAAGTGGATTTCGAAAGACGTGCCCTCTCTTCACCACAAACAAAACATGGTGTGATGAAGAAAAACCCTAATTCGATTATTCTGATGGGAATTGAGGAAGGAAAATGATTCAGTTGAAATATCCGGAATCGAAATTCCCGAATAAGGAAGCATGCGCTTGGTCTGATCTAATAAAAGGAAACACGAGAGGATAAGCATCCAACACTCATGATGAACAACATTAAACACATTCTAAGGTAAACGGCTTTTTCTGGTCCCTGTTCTTGCCACGTCATACCCAACGTGTCAAATCCTTCTCTTTCTCTCTCTCTCTCTCCATCGCACTTTCATTTTTATTTTATATTTATTTTATATATATCAATAATAATCCTTTCTCATTCTCCATCATCCCACTTCATTTCTTTTCGGCCTTATCTCTATCCTCTGCAACTCTCTCTCTCTCTCTCTCTCTCTCTCTCTCTTGGAGTGTGCAGATTGATGACAAGCAGCCCTATTACGTGGAAGCCTAAGAGGAAGAGAAGACGAAGAGGACAAGGGTGACTGCATCGCCGCTTTGGGGGTTCTTGTTTCGTTTTAGTTTAAGCTATTTCGGTAGAAGGTGAATGAAAATGGAGGTTTTGGTGGGTCCCGCTTTCACCATCGACGTTCCGGGGTCTCCCCCTCCGGAAGGAAACGCGGAAGATCGGATCTTCCTTAATGGGTCGCCGGAAAATGACGGGTCGAACTTTCGGATCTCGGCCCCGACCAAGTTCTTCACCGGCGGCGAGTCGGAGAGTTCGTCATCGATCGGAACCCCTGACGACAGTGACAACGAGGAGGAGGAAGTGCAGAGCAAGTTGAAGATACGAACTGGGTTGGGGTCTTTGGATGCTATGGAAGATTCTCTTCCCATCAAGTTAGTTCCTTTAATTTCTCTTTCTTAAACCCTCGTGTTTGATTTGATTCTCCTTTTTTTTTTTTTCCTTGGATTCTTTTCTATTTTGGGTTGTCTATCGAAATTTTGGGTTTTGTGTTTTATTATGGTTTTTGATCTTGGTATCTGATATGGGATGTTTTTGGGAATTTTGATAAGCGATGCAGGAGGGGATTGTCGAGTCATTTTGATGGAAAATCGAAATCTTTCTCAGATCTATCTCAAGTGAGTGCTTTGAAAGAGCTGCAAAAGCAAGAGAGTCCCTTCAACAAGAGAAGAAGGGTTTTGATTGCATCAAAGTGGTCCAGAAGATCATCTTTCTATTCCTGGTCAAACCCAAAATCCATGCCTCTTTTGCCTGTGGATGAGGATCAGGATTACGAAGACGACGATGATGACGATGAAGAGGAGGAGGAAGAAAAAGCTAGAAAAATTCCCTCTGCTTCCTCCTCTTCATCTTCCTCCTTGGCCGAGGAAAAGAAACCAGAAGATCAAGTTCAGCTGCGACTCAACAGAGTTCCCGAATCTTATGCTGCTCATATGAGGCTTAGACTTGGAAGCTTCAAGGCAAGGAGCTTTTCTCTTGCAGATCTGCAAGAACATGATGACGAGGAAGAAGACGATGATTGATTAACATTTAACCTAGGGTGTTTTTTTTGTTGTTGTTTTGTTTTATTCTTTTGTTATTGTTGTTGTTACTAAATAAAATTAAATAGTATCAAGTAAAAGTAACTGAAAAAAAATGATGCATCTCTTTTCACTTTTATGTTTAAAAGAAAATGAATTTTGTTGAGGGATATACTGTGCATATCCTGTAGGTGTTGTAGGAAAGTAATGAAAGCTTGGTGGTTCATATCATGACAGGAGCTGCGATCTTTACTTTTCTTCTGATGGTGTTTGTTTGTTTGCCAATATAAAATGGATATGGATATTGGGACGCATTCAATTCTACACGAAGGAAAAGATAAAGAACCAAAATTGGGTGAACAATCTTAATACGTGGTTCGAGAGTGTTTTGTATATAATTTAAATTTTTTTTATAGATGGTGGCAAATGGGAATGAGATAGGTGGCGAATGGCCGTGGTACCGTGGTCACAGTCACTAGGTGAGTATTTGGAGCGTATCTTGAACAAATCTTATCCTATCCTTTAACTATCAATACTTCTCCCAAAAAAGAAAGACTTTTTATTAGTTTAAAATTTTGGGTTTATAAAAATATTATTGATGACTTGCAAGTTGTGCCCGGGGTTGTCCCATCTTCAATAAGAATCGAATTTGAAGTGTTGATCTACCTAGGTAGGGTTTGTCATTTAGGTTTGTTGGTATTACTATTATTTATATATCTCAACTTGACCTTGCTTATTGGCTAAGCCTTCAACATGCTTCATGCTGACTTTTGAAGAAGAGATGAGAGATTTGTTTTAGGATCCATTGGAATTTCTGCCTTGGGGAGAGGGTGGACCCCTTCTATTTCTATTCTCCCAAACAATAATGCCAAACAACATTGGATTCCATGTGTTTTAATTCTTCTAAAAAAAACTTATCTTCACATTAAACCACAATTAATATTGGAGGCAGGTCATTTTTAAAAGAAAATCTCATTTGGGTGATACCAGAAATCACATGGCAATTGCCTGCACATATTTGGGTGAACAGATATTAATTAAATCTTTGGAGTTTAATGAAAGAGAAACTCCGTGTTACAGTGGAAAAAGATAAGATTAATGAGCAGAGTAGAAGGTGGTTGGTGTTTGAAGATTCCCATGTGGTTGAAGAGTTTGACATGATGTTGGTGGAGGGGCTGCATCTTCTAGTCATCCTAGTTGCTGCTGCAAGCCTGGACTGGAATATCATTTCCCATTCCCAACAAACACCATTTTCTTTCCCATGTCTATCTTTCTATATCCAACCATTACTCAAAAGTAAGCATTATTTGAATTTTCGTGGTTTGATGAGTAGTCAACATTTAACTCATCTAGAATTTTTCAGAATAAAAGATATTCAAAATGATTGTGTTTGTGTATTCTTCTACTTTTCGTTGTAATCAAATAAGATAAGAAGTATTTACATCTTCTGTCTTATCTTTATTCGGATCTCACAGTGGATAATATATTTTTTTCTTCCATTCTTTTTCTCCATTATATTTGATCTTCTTTGTGAGTCCAAACATAACAGCAACCTCGGGGAGAGCGATAAAATAATGATGTTTTGCAGATTAAGTGAATGAGGATGAAAATGTGTTAGAATGAATGATATGGTAAGTGCCAAGGTCCCACTTTTGTGAGGGTTTCAAAAACAAGAACTGATCCTTGGAACTTGATGCTATCCGGGGAGGGAAGAAATTTATATTTGAGATATGTTGAAAAAAAAATTGTATAAGATTAAACTTTATATAATTTAAGAAGTTTCTTTTAAGTCTAACAAAATAGTTTCTCTTTAAATATAAATAAATATCTTTATTGTTATATTAATTTGATATAATATATTAAAATTATATGTTTATTTAAATTTCTAAAACTTGAACATGTCGACTTTATATTAAGACTTATACTAATAAATTTATTCAAAGATAAATTGATGTCTATTTAAAAGTCTGGTTAAAAATATATTTTTTTAAAAATTATCATATTTATTGGGGTGAACTTTAAAATATGAGTTTATATATATAAAAAAAATCAAATATGATTGTCATAAATTTTAACAAAATTATTTTCAATATATCTTTTATGTTAAATTATCACAGTGTTGGAGTTTTAGAAAAATGTATATGAATGAAGTTACGCCTTTAAAAAGGATTGAGCCATGTCTAAATTTATTAATTTTTATTATATGTAGTTTAATACTATATTGTGTTTGAGAGAAATAAAAAAGGAAAGAAGGGTGTTTTTTTTTTAATTATTGTCTAGTTAAAATTTGTAATAGATATTAAAATCTCTATATTAAAAGAAAAAAAATCAAATATTTGTATTAACTATAATCTTTTACTAATAAATTGAAATTAAAAAAAATATTAAATTAACTTTTACCAATTAATATAAAATGAATTTTTTCCTTCAATTTTATTTTGTAAAACTAATAATTACCTGACCTAAAAAAACACAAATACAATTTTAAAATAAAAAGTAGTAGGTTTTGTTTTTAAGTTTTTTTTTGCGACCACGATAATATGATAATTTTTTATGTCTTTTAGTTTTATTTTTTATCACACTGAGTAGTCATAGTATCATTATTATAAATTATTCATTCTCTTATTAGAATGAAACATTTAAACGATTATTATAATATTGATATCAGTGCTCTATGTTTTTTTTTTTATTGAATGAAAGTTGTGATTATTTTTTAATTTTAATCATGATAATTAATTATATTGTTATTATTTAAATTGAAACTTTTGTTTTTAATTTCAAAATTAGTTATTTAAATTTAAATTTTATTTTTGTGTATGGAGAGATCAACAATTAACTCGTGCAGAAGTCAAAAGACTTAAACAAAATAAATATATAATTTGAAGAAAAAATATATAAGATATAACACTCTTTGTAATAAGAGTTAGATGATAAACTTTAACGTATCAAGAAGCATCTTGGATAATTTAGAACGTCTGTAGTAAGAGTTTGATGAAAATTTTAAATCTTTCTTTTATTATACATCGAATCCGTGTTTAGCTTGACAAACAATTTATTCTTTTAACTTTCTTTTTCTGAATCAAATCAAATTTAACTTTCTCTTTCTTAATCAAATCAATTCCTTTAAAATGTATATCTAAATGAGGAACTTGACTCGTTCCTTTAACCAATTTTTGTTATCCCATTACAATTTCACTAATTGAAAAATATCATCTTTATTTTTGGATCCACAAATTTATATGAATTAATTACTTGATATAAATTTAGGTCTCTTACATTAGTATCAAAATTTAATTAGATATATAAAATTCAAAATAACAAATATAAAAAGGTTTTTTATACTAATGATTTCTCCAAATTAAAAATCTAAATATGAAACTAAATTTTAGATTGACTAAGAATAAAAAAATTAAATAATATATATAAACTATAATTCAATATTTTAATATTTTTTGTTAAAAATGATATCAATTTTTTATTTAAGTTTATCTCAAGTTTTTTGGTGGCTTTCGGTCTTTTAAATCAAATAAAAGAAATACTTCCATTTTTTCTAGTATATATATATATATATATATATATATATATATATATATAATATAATATAATATAATATCTTTTAAAATATTTGGAACCTACGATACACAAAGATTAACTTTAATATATTTCTGATGTGTCAGTTAAAAAAAAATATTATAAAAAAAAATCTATTCATTTAAAAAAATATATTAATTTTAAAAAATACTTTAAGGTTAAAGTTTAGAAAGAGAAATCTTCCCATCATTTTTCAAAACTATTAAGCCTAAGAGAAAAAAATATTAATCTTAAATCAATTACATAGTTCGAATCAAAACAACAAATAGATTTGTTTATTACTGTTATATGAGGTTTTTTTTAAATTAGTATTGGAAGATACTTAAAAATAATTACAAGTGAAATATATATATATAAATAAAAGATATCACATTTTAATCTAAATCGTCAACACAATAATTTTTGAGATCTTTCCCATTTTTAGGTTGCTAACTTTTTCACTTTTACCCGATACAAGATTTAAACTCCCTTAAGGATAGATTTTACCCTTCGATAAACACAAGTTTTTCATATTTGTCATGATTTGGAACTTCTGCCAACACTCCTAGTGAAATGCAAATCCCAAGGTTTTATTAACAATTGCAAACCCTAAGAACCTGAACTGATACGTTTTGGACCAAATCGATTTGACTTGGAACTTTGCTTAGAGAATTACAAACTAAACTAGATCTATCCTATAATTTTATACTCAACTTGTGTTTTTCTGATTTGGTAGGGTCCTATATATTTGGATTTCAAACAATTATCTATTGTCCGTAACAAAAATTTAATGAAATGAATCTTAAACAGGTTGAGTGTATGATTAGGCTCTGCATTATTGTTTAGCACTTACACAGAAGGAGACTGGGATTTGAATATTGAACAAACCCAGTCAAAGCATGTGAAAAACAGGTTGAAAGAGGATTGAATTCGCAGTGTACAAGACACGAACATTTTGTAATAGTTTTACTTATAATTTATTGCTTTGCCCATCAAATTAGTTAGGTGGAAAGAAAGTTGCAGGTTAGCTAGTTTATAAGTCAAACTTTCGTCCAATGCACGCAATTCTACGTTTTATATATTATTGATAAAAATAAAAATATTGTCACACATGTAACAGTTTTAATAGATATATATTGAACCTTCTCCATTTATTTTCCAAAAAGCTGTTCTCTTGTATTTGGATTCAAGAGGAAAAAGAAAAGAAAGAGGATGGAAATGATTTGAATTGAGAAAAAAAAAATTAAAAAATTAAAAAGAGATAAATAAAATGACGGTAGAAAATAAGATTAATGTAATTAAATAAAAAATAAAATAAAATATGTATTAACTAAAATATTTTTATCAATTATTTTTATTGTAATTTTATTACATTGATAATATAACATTTTTTATTTTAATTTTTTTAATATTAAAAAAAATAGTTGAAGCTTATTTTTTCATACAAATATATAATCTAGAAAAAAAAAGTTTCTCTTTAATCTATTAGTAAAAAACAAATAAATAATTAAATTTTAAATCCTAAATCAATTAAATCCATTTTCATATTATGTAGACATGACATACTCAACAATAATAAGATTTATAATTCAATTAAACTTATGGAGAGACATAACACAATCAAATTTGTATATTACAAATGAATTAGAAAACTTAATAGGATAGGATGGTTTAATGCAAGTGAAATAAAATGTTATGCCTCGTTGCAATATTGACCTGGCTGAGTTGTGTGGTGGTTGTACATAGAATGTCTACATGTGCACCATGATACAAAATTTGTGCACCATAAGACAAAATTGGGGAATGTTGATTATTTTCATTTTTATGCATCTATTGTAACTTTAAAGGGTTGAGAGCATTCAACTTTCTCTTTTATTCTTAAGTTTAGACAAATCAATATATAGAAACACTAATCATAGCCTAAAACAGGCTCCCCTATTTCTTTGATTACTATATAATAATGAAAGCAAACAATATATTAAAGCTTAAGATTTTTCAGACAATATAATAAACATCATCTAATTCAAACACCACTCAATGAAAAAAATAATTAAAATTTAAAGTAATGTAAAAATTAAAATATTGAATTTATTTTTAATATCTCAACAATTTGGACCAACTTTTTCTTGGTCTCCACAGAAAAAATAAAAAACTTGTAATTGGTTTAATTTTTTTTTTTAAAATATCATTCAAGATCATGCTTACAGTATAACAAACTCTACTTCATTTATACTTTAGTTTTATTCTTTTCCCTTAACAAGGAGATATTTCAAACTTTTTTTTTTTTTTTCTAATTATTAAGGGAGAAATTTATCCAAACGGTGCCGATATCGTTTATTTCTGCTGCAATGCGCACGTGTGAGTTTATCAATGGCCTGCACCATTCTATTACGTCTCTTCACTCCCTCCTGTTCCAACCTTGCTTTCTCAACCACCAGCGTTAGGGTTACGCTAACCCATTTACACTCTCCTTCCATCTTTGCCCGGGCGAGTCGACTCAGCTCCAACTCAATGAGTCAACCCACCGCCGATCTCAAAGCTGTTGCGACAACGGACGATGGGGCGCCGCAGCTGGAAAATGCGGATGTTGTGGTGCAGTACGTGGTGCTCAGGCGAGACCTTATCGACATGTGGCCGTTAGGGAGCGTGGTTACTCAAGGTTGTCATGCTTCTGTCTCCGCCGTTTGGTCCAACAAAGACGATCCTCACACCTTGGATTATTGCAGCCCCGAGAAAATTGATTCTATGCACAAAGTAAGGCTTCTCTGCCACCATTATCTTTTGTTAGTCTTATTTCGATAAGCGAAAGTCGAACTGTATATCACATTTTTCATATTGTGTTGTCAATTATGTTTAATTTTGGTTTTTGGTTGTTCAAGTTGTGAATTGGGCCAGCCTTGCTTTGTATGGTTCTTAAAATTGCTTTTATGCAAAAATGTTCCTAGCCGTCCCTAGTGTATAAAATCCTGATCCATTGCAATGGCTATAGGTTATTACTTTAAAATCTTTTTGAAATCCCAATTCAAAAACCCAGCTTCTTATTTATATGTATGGGAGATCAGCATGATTGTGTTCTCTTTACATTCTCTGTTTAGCTAGTCATTGTTAGTATGATAAAATTAGAAATAACTTGTAAGTAGTATGAAAAAAATATACATATATTGTTGCATTGTTCTTCATGATGAATGGAGGTTTGTTCACTTCTTGGTTGAATTTACTATGATTTGCTGAGGTTTGCCAAATAGATGCCTCTGAAACAATAATTCAGTGTCTCTTTTTATTTTTAAGTGAGCCACAAAATATCAACCTTCGGATTTGCATGATTTTATTCTGGATTGTACAGTATCGTAATTATCATCCGTTTTTTGAATCGAGATTTTGAATATATCATACTGGAATACAGAACTCATTTTGAGGGGTAATAATTGTATATTAAAGTTGAAACTACAAATGTATAGGATTTCATACTTTGTTCTTAATCATTTGTGTTCAATTTGACCATTAATGTTTCGGGATAGCAATTGTGGCTTCCTGTTGTTATATTGTGCCATTCGTGACATCAACTTCAGTTGAATTTTATCCAATTAACTATTTTGTATCTCCTCTGTTTACTTTTATAAGAACTTTTTGAGAAGTTTGTCGTTGTTATTATCATAGATTCCATTCAAATTGTCTACTGCTTTAATTTTTTTTTTTTGTATAAATATACTTAAGTGAATATGCATTAAAAACGAGAATGAAATTCCTATAATTTTAAAGGTAATTTTGGAAAAACAATACCAATTATTGATAAATTTACTACTACTATTTAGCTTATTTAAATAGTACTACAGGTAGTAGTATGTATCTATGCATATGGTGTTTCTGTTCTGGTCATGTAGATCTGATTCATTTTTCTGATATAGCTGAGCATCTATCTGGTTTATGCGTTAAGTTGCTACTGAACATCAATTGTAGGTTACCCTCGAAGTAAAGGGAGAAACCCAGATCAAAAACTTGTCTGAGAAGCTTACGTCAGGTGGAATCATTCACAAACTGTGGATTGAACAACCTGAAAACATACCTACGTGCCTTGCCACAAAACCATACCCCAAGTCAATCGTATCTTCGTATTTTAAGAAGTTGAAACTCTGTAAGTGATTTCATGGTTGATGGTTCTTCTATTTTCCCTATTGCCCCTATTTGATAGAAAATTCACTGAACTATGACTGGTAATTCGGGAATTTTTTTATTCTTTGCCTTCTCCCCTAAAATCACACATTTAGAGCAAGTGAAGTGACTGTTATGTGCACTAGCAATTTAAGCCCGATTTCGATTTCTTTTAACTATTAGCCAGGATGGGGGGTGTCGTGTCTTGATTGTTGAATGAACCTCACCATGAAAAATTAAAAGCTTAACATTTCTTTCGGCAAGTTAATTGCCTTGTACTTGTTTGCATAATTTAAAGAGTGTATGGAGTTCTTTTTTGGGCTTACGCCCCAATGATCTCCCCAGGTATCCATTCTATATTTCAATTTGTTTCTTATCTTTATTTTGTGATAAATCAGCACCTTATGTTAACATTTACAAAATTTTAGCTTCTATGCAATTTCATTGCTAATCTATTAGCATGTCTGTTAAATGTTTAGTTGGAGTAGCGCGTGGCGTAAGAATTAATAAATTTTGATGCCTTGTTTATGAATATGATGTGAGTCCCTTATTTTATTTTTGTAGCAAATTAGTCTCGTGTCTACAAACATAAACAAACATTTGCGAAATCATCAGAATCTATCTTTTATAGTTACTAAAATGCTGAAATGTCCGACGAAGTTGTAGATTAGCAGTGCAGTCCAGTGTTAGTATATTTTGGCTTGTACAAGCTCTTACCAGTGTGACAAAAGGTTTCCTAACCCCATAATCAAGTTCTTGTAGTCAACCACTTTGCTTCAAAAGATGAAGGACTAAAGGAATATTTTTGCGTATATATATATATATATATATATATATATATATATATATATATATATATAAAAAAATAAAAACATTGAAAAAAAGGAATAATCTGTTTTGTTGTATTACCATTGGAGGTTAGGATCGTCTTCTTCCCTTAAAAAGTTAACCTAGGGTTCCTGCTTTTACTGTTTATATCCAATTACTTTGCTAAACCAAATTGGATTGTTCCACGGAGTTTCGGTTTACTAAAATTTTGGAATGTAAAGAACTTTACAACAATTAATTAATGATCTCGTGCTTTGTTGAAATAATTTGGAAAAGCAATATTACAGAAGGATAAACATCAACAGACCACCGCTACTAATAGATTGTACTATTTATCAACTATAACTTTGCTAACCATTTTGAATAATTTTGCTTCAACTTATTAGTCCAAGTTAACATTTTTCGTAGACATCAATGTAATTCACCAACATGTTATAGATTTCTTAATAAATACTTTAAAAAAATAAAACAATTTTTTAACATACGCTAAACAGATTAAAAAAAATAATAGAATAATATTTTTTTTCCAAATTAACTTGTTTAAACTAATTTTATTTTATAGAGAACAAATTTATTTTATGAAACCATTGTTCATTTTTTTGTTATTTTGAAGGCATCAAAGTGGCTATCCGAAGAATTGTGAGTATAAGGAAAAGGCATTGAAATCGCATTCATAGTGGAAGAGTACGTAACCCGAATTAGTTAGTCTTAAGAACTGTCCGATATAATTAGATTTCATAAGCCATTCAGTAGTTCATCGACTGATAAATTAAAAATAAAGTAAGGTGAAACAAATAAATTGATGCAAGGTCAAAGGATAATGGAAGACTTAGTAAAATATGTTGAGACTAATTTAGCAGTTTATTCAAATATACAAACACGAATTCTTCCATGAAAAAAAACAAAACAAGATGGATCCAAAAATGATGTACAAAATCCCTCTACTGGAGACGGAGTTGTCTGTTGCAGATGGTGCAGTGATAGGTGCGTTTGGTCTTACAGAAGAAAGGAAGAAAACAGAAATTGCAAAGGGTCTCTACGTCCACCGCTTGGATGATCCCTCCGCAGTAAGGACACGCCCCCGGTGCTGGCTGCCTCGACACCACCCTTTCATCTTCCCCGCACACAAACACTAAACACATGATCTTCTCCTTCAAATCTTTCTTCCTCTCTTCCTCGCTTTCTATGCAACCCTATCTCACATATAATCTCTTCGCACTCTTCACACCAAACATACGCGTTTCTCAATATTCCGTTTACCTTTCTCATTCCTTCTCCGCGTTATGTTATGCCTACACTCGCCACGCGTCGCCACGTGTCCCTTCTCGTCTTATATTTCATTAATTACTTGTGGAGACTAATATAATTATTCTAAATCCACATATAATATAAATTCTGGGATTCGGTTTCAGTTCTAATGGCCCGAAAATTAAAACTGGATATTATAATTTTTTCATATTTATTTTAAATCTCATTTTACTCTTACACATATCTTCTTAGAATATATTTTTAATTCACCTTTCAAATATATTCTGAATTCATTCTTGGAAATTCCAAAACACCATCTTATAATTTCAGAATTTTAAAATGCATTTCTTATATAGATATTTTTGTTTTACCCTATTTTTTTTACTTTATTATTTAAAAACTTTTAATTATGGATGATAGAATTAATTAAATCTGACGAATCTGTTCACTATCCTATCTAAAAAGATATGAGGTAGATGATAATTTTAAGGAAAAAAATATTTTGACATTACTATTCACACAAACAACCCTATAAACAACTGCATTTTATATTATAATAATAATTTTAACTATTTTTTATTTTTATTTAAACTCTTTCATGATTATTATATTAATAAAATGGATTATTTTTTTGGATTATTTGTTCTTTCCGTTGTGAAAAGATCATCACCCTAATTTTAATCTGTTAATTCACTCATAACTGTATGCGATAAAATAAAGTCAACAATTTTGTTATCCTATTTTAAACCTGTTATAACAATCAATAATTCTACCACACATAATAATAATAATAATAATAATAATAATAATAATAATAATAATAATAATAATAATAATAATAATAATAATGTATCGTTAGAAAATATTGAGAAGATCTTTTACACTAATACCGCTATCTTTTCTTAATTTATATTATTTCTCATTTCTCTCTGTACCATAATGTGGATCTCATTTTACTAATTATTTTCATCAAATTTTTAGGATTTCTAAAATTATCATAAAATAATTACCAAAACATATATAATAATAACTTTAAACGTTATGATAATAAACTTATAGTAATTTTTCTATAAGTTTTTCAAAATTTTAAGATTTTTATTAATTAGTTACCTGAATAAATAAATAAAATCGTATTTTTCATAACAAAAACTTGAGTTTAAAATGTTTTAGATTTATTACTTTAGGGAACTAATTAACATGATATGTGTTTCGATAAAAGAAATACAAATATTTTTTAATAATTTTATATTAAAATAAAATAGAGATAGCAGTTTAAAAGGGAGAAAAAATAATTTTACCAAAAAAAATGTTTTTAATCCTTTCAAAAGGAATGTTTTTGGAATAATTTTTAGTGATTAGGTGAAATCCAATATAACCCATCTAACCTTATTCATATTAGGATGAGTAACAAGTTTTGTTTTCAGAACTCGTGAATCTAACGTGATGACATAATATTTTATTAAATTTATCATATAATTAAAAATAGATAATTATAGCGAATTCAATTAACGAAAACACCTCTGACTAAGTAACTTGATATACACATTTAATATGTAACAAATGTGTTGTAAATTAAAAATGTTTGAGTAGTTGAATTAAAGTATATTTCCTTTTTTATGGATAATTTAGGACCAATTTTCTTTTAAATTACAAGTGTTTGAGTAATTGAGTTAGTGTGTTTTTCTTTGTGCAACAATTCTGAATAGTTAGATTTTAATTTTTTATCAAGTGATTTATTTTTATTAATGGTTTAGAAAAGATAATAAATAAATTTAAATGTTCAAGTCCCATTGATCCAATCTAAATCAATCAAATTGTGATCAGAGTGATTAGGGTTAGATTTGGCACCAAGATTTTATAAACCTAATCCAACTTATATATTTTTTATTAGATTGAATAATGAGATTAGTTAAACACTCCTATCATTTTCGATTCTATTCATCCTACAAAATAATAAAAAATATCAATTTCCCTCCATCTGTTAAAAAAAAAAAAAACTAATAAAACGATGGACAGAAATAGCACATCTCTTTTCATAGCCTCTTTCCGATCAGGTGGTGGAAAATATATTCTACCACTTGCTTGTTACTTTTTTTTTTCTTTTTTCTCACTGAAAATATATTTATTAGAGTGTGACAACGATGATACACTCAAAAGGAACAAGGAATTTCGATCATAAAGCGAAATATAGGTCTGTATTTGCATACTTTTGAATTTAATATTATTGGGTTTACTTTAAATAATTATATAACTCAGAACATGGCCACCACGATGAAGCTTGAAGCTATGATTCATTCCCCATGAAAGATGAAGCAGCCACACACATCTTCAATTATCATGTTACAAACACAGATACAGAAACACAAGGTGTCGTTTGTTCCTACTGCAATTAACAACTCTCAATAAATTCATGTTCAGTGTGCCTAATACAACAAAATTAGATTAGAAAACAAAAAACATGTTACATGTTACATGTCGACCATGTCTGGTTCAAAGGTTAATTGGTTCAAGCATACAGCACTTGGCAACTACACGGTGAGAATTCACGGAAAGCACGCGGTGCCTCCACCACCTTCCACGTCACGTTCACTTCGACGCCACCACCGCTACCTTTAACTTCATCGTCCATGTTCGGAACCACGTTAACACTTCCAATTGCCACGTTCAAACCACAAGAAGCCACGTAGATTCGATCATCCAATCCCGTGGCACAAAACGGCCTCTTTATAACTTCCCTCGGGAATCTCCCACCTCCAACGACGTGCCACGTGTCCTGCTTCTCATCGTACACCTTCACCGGTGAATCCCCGTATTCTGGTATCAGGAAAACTCTTCCTCCCACCGCCACACCCACCCCGCTCCACCCCTCTCTCATTCCGATCCCCATCTCCCGCCACGTGTCCCTCTCCACCTCGTACACCCACCCTCTCGGCCGGAACATGAACGGCCACCACCACCCCTCCGTCACGTATATCTTCCCCTCCACCGCCACAACCTCGTACCTCTCCAGCTCCCTTCCCAACGCCCTCCCCTTCCGCCAAGTGTCGCTCTCGGCATCGTACACGCCCGTCCCGTCTCTCCCCAGTACCACGATCCTCCCCTCCACCCCCTGCACCGCCACTAACGTTCTCCCGCAGGGCCCCGCCGCCGCCGCCGACCACTGGTTCGTGGCGGCGCGGTAGGCCAGCGTTTCCGTCCCGTTAACGACGACGAGATTCCCCTGGCGCGGCAGCGCCGCGCACGCGAGCGCCGACGGGCGGGTGTCCTCCGGCGAGGGCATTTGCGGCAGAACGAACCAGCGGCCGGAGGAAGGATCCAGCGCCTGCCACTGATGCTTTCCGGTTTTGGAATGGAAGGCGAGAACGAAAAGGTTAGGGTGGGAGAGGGTTTTCTTGGAGAAGATAAATGAAGGGTGAGTAATTGCTCTGTTCCAGGTGGAGGAAACAGAGCGCGATAGAGCCTGGTAGGGATACGGAACGTGAAGAAGACATAGCTCTGCAATTTCGTTGGGTAATCCAGGAATAAGGTCTTTCTGTTCCTTTTCTCCTTCGAAGTAAACCATGATGTTTGCGTTGCAGTAGATTGTGTGAGATGGGGGAGAAAGAAGAGAATGGAAGAGAGGGATTAAATGGTGGGAAAGTGATAAAGATAAAGGAGAGAAGAGAGAAGTGTGAATGATTGTGGCGAGGTGAAGGATCCTCTGAAAATGTGTTGGGGATGGGAACGCGAGTGGAAGTGGGGTCCTGCAGTTTGTGGGCGCATATCGATGACTCCCTCCATAACATTATATGATGGGGACACTACGAGGGACCCATCACACTTGGTAGGTTTCAGGAATGTATCATCAAAAATCAAAATAACGGTAGAAAAAATAAAGAAGCTACAATTTTAATTCATAAAAAAAAAAAAAATCATTTTTTTAAACCAAATTTTTTGTTTTTGGTTTAAACTTATCTTCCATGGTGAAAAATGATGAGGTTGATTGCATTTTGTGCATGAAGAGAATGGGTTACGTTATGATAATAAAAGGCGACAGCGACTGATGGGAACGGCCCAACTAAGGGTCACATCAGCAGATAAAACAGCAACACACAGTACTACTGAAAGAAATGACGATTAAATATTAAAATTAACATTTTCTCTATAAACAATTAATCTACCAAAAGAATGTGATTAGAGTTCTTATATAAATTAAGAAATATGTAAATTATATTAAAAACATACCTTATAATGAAAATATGTAACTAAAATCATTTAATGCACTGTAATATTTATTTTACTTTTGATAATCAATATTAATTACCTTAAAAAGAAAATACATATTCATTAAAAGTATTATATATAATCACTCAGTTTCATTTTAACCTTCCTCTTTCTCATATTCTCGGAATTAATGAATTCATGCATTCACCACTTGTTTTCAAGGTATAATAGATATATTTTTCCATAAAAAATAATAACTTTTAAGTACAAATAAATAAAAACAAATTAATATTGTGCTTTTACTTTCTACATCTTACCTATTTTTAGTCTTCCTCTTCCTTAAAATGGTAGCTCATAAATTTATTAATGTGTATAACTTTAATTAAGATATTTATTTGTTTATGTATATAAAAACGCTTTACATTATTTAGATAAATAGTAACTTATAACATATTTTTAACTTTATCGATACATTTTTTCAAAACAATTTGTGACGAAATCGTGATCGCTAAATCGCATATATCTTAAATATGATTCTAATTGTGAATATAAACTAAATCGAACCAAAATAATAATAATACTTATTTTATTACTTTTAAAACTAGGTAAGTTGCACTTCGGTTTTTCTATGAACGTGTCGATCGCAAATCGAGAAAAGTGATCGAAAACAAAGGAGAGAAAAGCGAGGAAATATGCGATTGATTGATAAATCGATAAGATAAGACAAAAAATAATTCGATGTCTAATCAGAAATACGTAGCACATAACATCGAGAAACGTAATCGAGAATCGGAGAAATAATAGTCAAAAGTTTATTGTGGAACAAACCAAGAAATTAGAAATATATGATGCTAAGGTTAAAAAGAATCAAAAGTAATCCAAAATTCTCGATAAAATCGAAGTCTAAATCGAGAGAAAGGTTAACCCGCATAAATATCAAAATCGTGGTCAGATCATAAAGAGGAGTTAAACACGCACATAGGAGACAACTTCTAAATCGTGGCAGAGGTTGAAGATCATGGGAACGTGAGTGCAGCTTTGACACCACGTAAGAAGAAACTGCAACGCGCACGAAGAACGTGGTAGCAGCTTGGTTAATCGCTCCTAGAAGGCTTGAATGATGCCCTATAAATAAAGCGAGAGGAGGAAGGAATAAAGGGGGGGAAATTGACGGAGAACAGAATCGGTAGTGAAAAGTCTACCGGAGAAATGACGAACATCATGAAGCTTCCGGCATTCTGGATTTCCTTGCTCACTCGAGTACATTTACCGCTTCAGTATTTTCCTTGGTAATTTACTTTGATGCAACTTAAATTCAACAGTTTTATGTTTCGTATTTTCGATTCCTTGTCATTTCAATTCAATGAAAGTTTAAATTTCGCATTTAAGTTTCCCTGTCATTTACTTTTCTTGCAATCTCGATTTCCTGTCATTTACTTTTCTTGCAATCTCGGTTTCCTGTCACTTATATGTGCACTGCTTTCGATTTCTTGTCATTTACAATTAATGTAAATTAGGGGTTTTCGCACTTTACATTTCCTCGCAATTTAATATTCTGTTTCTCGATTCGATATTTTTACTGTGTTCGGTATTTCAAATATAAAAAATAGCATTTTCAATATCCTGTAACTTTCGATTCTTATACACGTTTTCGATTGAAAGTTAAATTGCTAGCCTAAGTAAAAAGAACTTACGTGGGAGGATTTTGATTAGGACCAAAACACCTTTAGAATCGAAATCGATCGAAATTCCACCAGAAACAAATTGGCACGCCAGGTAGGGGTTCTTGTGTTGAGAGACACAAAATTGGTTAGTTCGAGAGTGTATGAGATTAAGGAGTGAGAGAGTCACGAGTCAGAGTTCATCAAGTAACCAGAGTAACACTGAGGGATTAAATGGGTCACACCCATCAAATACTGGGGGGCAAAGTCATAATGGAAATACACCTGTAGTATCGACAACTGTAAGTATGTCGATACCCGTGAGTAATGAACAAAATTTAAACACTTTAGCAAATACCCAAGTAGGATCTAGTACGGTGGCACTAAACAGTATGCCAACTATGGGAAACCCTATAACAACAAATGTTGGGCCGTATATGAGTATAAGACCACCTGGATTTTCGCTTAACATGAATGGGGTTGGTACTTCTTCGATGCAACGAAATTCGAGATATAACTTAGGAACATTCCAAACCCTAGGTATGCCACAGAATTTTGGAGCATCTCCAAACCTAGGAACATCTCAAAATTTAGTAATTTCCCAGAACTCAGGGAGTGTGCAGAATATAGGAACGCAGCAAATACCTCCAAATCTAGATCATAGAGGAAACTTAGATCATGGGAGATATGCGGTCGATAGGGATTATCATCGATCTAATTTTGATACTATCAAAAATACTGGTACTGGAATATCTAGTAACTCCTTAGGAATACTTAGACAACAAATGGATGAGAGTAATTTTGAGATGGTGAATATGTTATCACAACAGTTGACTACAGTTCTAAATCCATTAGTTCAAAACACTACCGCTAGTTTTGAGATATTAGCAGATCAAATGTCACGAATCGGGGATGCATTGGCTGTACCTCGACAAACGAGGGTAGAAAATCATGCTAATCAGAATACTAATATCAATCCCCCGTATCTATTGAGGAGAAATAGAAACAATGATCAACATCAGCATATGGGAAATGAGTACCAACACGTGAGGAATGACATTTATGGGAATTTGAACGAAGGATTTCAAAATATACACAATCAGAATAACATGTTAGGACAAATGATGAATTTACAAGGGATGGAATTTAGACCACCCAATCAGACATATTTTGTGTCTCCCTTTCCAAATGCGATTCTCGAGACAGAATTGCCTCGAGGATATAAAGTACCCAAATTCACTAAATTTGCTGGAGAAGTTGGTGAATCGACTATCGAGCATGTGGCTCGATATCAGATCGAATGCGGGGACTTAGCGATGAGTGAAGAATTAAAGATGAAATATTTTCCTAGTTCTTTGACTAAGAATGCTTTTACTTGGTTCACTTCGTTACCGCCCAATTCGATATATAATTGGTTGCAGTTAGAGAGAAATTTTCATGAACAATTCTTTAGAGGAGAGACTCAAGTAAGTCTCATCGATTTGATGAACATAAAACGATACATCCATGAAAGTATAGATGATTATCTGAATCGATTTAGACAAATGAAGTCGAGATGTTTTACTCAAATTCCTGAATATGAATTAGTCAGGATGGCTTCTACAGGTTTAGAATTCTCGATTAGAAAAAAATTAGTCAATCTACCATTGAATGACATGGCTCAATTAGCTGATAAAGTGAGAAGAGTGGAACAAATAGAGTATGAGAAACAAAGGTATAAGAAATATGAGAAACCCTCGAAAAAGGAAAGGATAGCATATATAAATGACGTATATGAGACGGATAACATGACAGAAAATGATATTGAAAAAACTGTCGATGAGAAAGTAAACATAGCAGAACTCAAAGTAGGGGCTCCATATATTTGCAAATTGCTACAAAAGAATGAAGTGGCAAATCGAACATATACTTTCGATGTGACAAAGGCTGATAAAATTTTTGATATCTTACTAAAAGATAAACAAATTAAGTTGAGCAAAAATCATAAATTGCCTTCGGCAGAACAAAGGAATGGTCGAAAGTATTGTAAATTTCATAATGTTTTTGGACATTGGACTAACAATTGTATACATTTTAGGAATACGATACAAGATGCGATTGACCAAGGGAGACTGAAATTTGAAGAGATGTCGATGAAAGTGGACACGAGTCCATTCGAAGTGCAAGTGGGATATATTGAATCCCAAACGGGCATGACTGATGATGTCCGAGTGACGAATGCTGCTTTTGTAGGCATTGTCGATGTTACTGAAGACATTGACCCTAAGCATGTCAGAATGGATGTGTCTGAAGAAGATATGGAATTTGACCTGAGTGAATTTGAAAAGGAGTTCGAAAAAGAGATTTACCCTCAGTCAGGAGACTCCCTCATTGAGTTTTTGAATAGGAAGAAAGAAAAAGACGAAGATGTGTCGTTATGCCCACGATGCAGTGCGGTGTTCGATAAATCGGCTGCTAAAGCTTTCAGAACAGAACAGATGAAGAAGGTCGAGAACCAAAATAAAAGGAAAAATGATAAAGTAGATCAAACGGTCCGACCAATAATCGAAGAAAGTCAGCAGAAATCCGTTGGTTCTGGTGTTAACGGAAATCAAAGGCAATGGGCTAGAAGAGAGATGTATCCTTCTCGAGGAGGAAGAGACAGACTTCGGAGCAATGACGTCTTCGAGAGATTGTCATACGATGAAGGATCGAACACTGGATTCCCAACATTCCAAAGGAGATTCTGAGGCAGGCCCTGGAGAAGAGGAGGAAGGATCCCTTATTGGAATAATTATAGAAATTTCGAAGAGAATATTGTACCGATGGATAGTCAATATGCAAGAGAATATTTCGATGATAAGAATGAAGGTACTTGGGACGAGCATCAAATCGGAGTGATATCGATACTACCGGCAAAATATGTTAGTGAATATCAAGAGTACCAAGAACAGAGTGATGCCGATCGAGAGGATGACTTCTACTCAGAAAACATAAAGTCAAAAGTAACATGGGTTACACAAACCTCATAGAGATGCTGCTTTTATTGACCCTCCGTCTGAGGAAATGAGGTTCCACTTGAAACCATTATTACTGAATATCGAGATTCAAGGACAGA